ATTGCTTAGGAATACAGCAGCATAAGCTGCCACCAGTCCTTCGCAAGGAGATGCTGCTGCATCTCTCCAGCCCGCAGCGCTATTATTCCTGTTAGCGGAGGCGTCACGTCCTTTCGCGGGTTTTAAGCGAAGAATAAACGCGCACCTGCTCCAACCAGAGCGATTTCTTGGGGAGAGGTGCAGACCTTTCCTTGAGCGCCTAGAGCAGATCACAGCTGCCTTCCCGGCCGGGCAAACGGCAGTGCAAAAGTCACGGGAATATGCTTGAAATCGCTGGCCACGTTGCCCGCTGCGCCCCTGCCCGGCCCCCGAGCAGAGCACCCGGGGCCGCGCGGCGCCCCAGGAAGAAGGACATTTCCGTTCGCGCCCGCGATCGCCCGGAGACGCTCGTCTAGAGCGTTTACCTCGTTGCCAAAGCGTTTGGATCGGACTGGGACTGACTAGCGAGCCGCTTGGAAACCGCTGGGCAGAAACCTCCCTCGGCCACAGAGCTCGTCTCGGGAAAGAAATCCTGCTTTGCTGTCGTGAGGTTGAGCATCCCGTTGCAGCCGGGCTGCGCTCTCGATGTCGGTCGTAATTTCACACGTATCTGCATGGGCGCAGGTGCGTGCGTGTGTGTGTGTGTGTATATATGTATATGTGTATGTGTATCCCATACCTGTGTGCGTTGTAGCTGTGTTTTAGCAGGGGTGGATGGCTGGGATCGCCCCCTCGCAGCTCACGGGGCAGCACTGCATCCCCCAGGGCAAAGGACCGGGCCGGGTTTCTTTTTGGGTGCAAACTAGCCCAGTCCCCGGGCCTGCGATAGCCCCAAACCGACTCACCGCGGGGGGAAGCCGACCTCCCGCTCGGCTGCTCTTTAGCCCCGGGATAACGAGGAACGGCCCTCCGGAAAGGCCGGCAGAGAACGGCGTCCTGTCGACTGCTGCGGCAGGCACTTTTTGAAGGCCGTAACAGGCAGATATTTAAATATCGCCTGCGTTTGAAATGCAATGCAATTTCTGTCATTAGCTGGAGCACAGGGAAATAGGAGAGAGAGAAAAAAAAAAAAGACACACTGGAAATTTTCTCTCCTGCTGGCTTCTGTGGTTAATCAAGTCTTTCAATAACCAAAACGGAGATAACAGGGCAAGGCACTCTTTGTACTCAGCGCGTTTGCAACAACAGATTATTTTTTGCCTAAAACATCTAAGCCACCAGCACAGTCATTTCTACGGTCGTCGCTCCCGGGCGGCTTACGCGGGAGGCAAGGACGGGACGGTCCCGCGCTGCCCACGGCC